CTTCTCCCCAGTCTCCTCTTCTTCCTCCCGGTCTCTTCTTCCTCCCGGCTTCCTCTTCCTCCCCCGGTCTCCTTCTCCCCAGTCTCTCTTCCTCGGCCTCCTCTTCCTCCCCGGTCTCCTCTTCCTCCCCGGCTCCTCTTCCTCCCGGTCTCCCTCTTCCCACAAGCGATACAAAACGCCTCGTAATCCTCACTGAATAAATTAACAACATTGTCCAGATGCGTAAACTTGGTCCCCCCTCCCCTCTCCTCCCCTCCCCCTCGTCTCCCCCCCCCTCTCCCCCATCCTCTTAATTTCAAGGTGAATTTCAAACCAATTACCGTTTACCTGAGTTCCGACCGCGTCATCATGGTACCGTCTGATATACCAGGTACCGGTAGCGGGTATTTAGTTCGTGGTACCTACCGGGGTATTGCCCTCGTGCCCCTGACCGTCCATAGCACCGTACTTTCTCTACCCCCCCCCCTCGCCTCTCTCTCTCTCTCCTTATCAGATAAAATCCCGTTTGACTTCCACTATCAGAGTTAAAAAGTAGACAAAATCCCGTTTGACTTCCACTAGCAGAGTTAAAAAGTAGACAAAATCCCGTTTGACTTCCACTAGCAGAGTTAAAAAGTAGACAAAATCCCGTTTGACTTCCACTAGCAGAGTTCAAAAGTAGACAAAATCCCGTTTGACTTCCACTAGCAGAGTTAAAAAGTAGACAAAATCCCGTTTGACTTCCACTAGCAGAGTTAAAAAAGTAGACAAAATTCCGTTTGACTTCCACTTCAGAGTTAAAAAGTAGACAAAAATCCCGTTTGACTTCCACTAGCAGTTAAAAAGTAGATAAAATCCCGTTTGACTTCCACTATCAGAGTTAAAAAGTAGACAAAATCCCGTTTGACTTCCACTAGCAGAGTTAAAAAGTAGACAAAATCCCGCTTGACTTCCACTATCAGAGTTAAAAAGTAGACAAAATCCCGTTTGACTTCCACTATCAGAGTAAAAAAGTAGACAAAATCCCACGATCAAATTACAATATATCCATTTGCTGACTTAATTAAAAAAAAAAGTTTAGATTGAATGAGATTTTGTCTTAAGAATTCAATACCGCAACAAAAAAACGAACAAATAAAATAATATTTGTAATTGTTTGTGTTAATTTGTTATAGTACTGATAAGAGTGTGTGTGTGTGTGTGTGTGTGTGTGTGTGTGTGTGTGTGTGTGTGTGTGTGTGTGTGTGTGTGTGTGTGTGTGTGTGTGTTACCCTGCTCAGTACGGTGTGGCGGTAGTGAGTGGTGATAGTATATGATGGTATAGTGATGTGTGATAGTGTATGGGGGGATGTAAGGAGTATTGTAGTCGTGGTGTATGGTGAAGTATGAGGGAATGTGAGTATGGTGCTAGTGTATAAGGGAATGTATGTGATGTGGTGGCTTGGTGTCGTAGTGTCGTGGTGGTATGGTGTCGTAGTGTCGTGGTGGCATAGTGACATGGTGCCGTGGTGTTATGGTAGGGCATGAGTTAGGGTAGCACCACCACCACCCCCTCACAACACCGTAACAAAGGCTGGGTAGGAAACCTGAACGGGAGTGGGTGGTGGCCGCTCCCCCAACACTGCCAGAGAGAGAGAGAGAGAGAGAGAGAGAGAGAATCTATTTACCTAATCCAAACTAACCTACTTAACTTAACCTAACCTACTTAACTTAGCCTACTTAACTTAACCTAATCTACTTAACTTAACCTAATCTACTTAACTTAACCTAACCTACTTAACTTAACCTACTTAACTTAACCTAATCTACTTAATAACTACTCCTAAACTAGCACACTTAACCTAAATTATGCCGCCAATATGTATACGGCTCTTGGTACTGCTAAGGTCGTCTTTCATCTCAGTTTAATTAGGTAGAGATTTCAGAATGATTAGGACATGTTATAAAATTATTGGAGGAGATTTGAAAAGGGTTGGTATAGAGATTTCAGATTATTATGATATAGATTTCAAAATGAGTAGGAGCTGTTCAAAACGACTGGGCCATGTTTCAAAATGATTCGGGACAGTTCAGCATGATTGGGAAGGTCTCAGAATGTTCAGGTACAAAACTAATAATGGTTAAGTTGAAGAATGTGTGTGGTAGTGGTGAGAGGACGGACGTGAGGAGAGGTGGGCGGCAGCTTGGATGTTTGTAAGGCAGCCATCCATCTATCCAGGTACCGCACAGTGACGTGAACTTGATGGCCTCTTGACAGATGCTTTGTTGCGGGACAGTGGCCGGCGGGGCGAGGAGCCTGCCCCGCTCCCCTGTCCTGCCCTGGGCAAAGTGGGTCCCCGCGAGCTGAAGTACTTTCTCCCACCCACTTGTTTATCCCGGGCGGCGAGTGGGAGGGTGACACACACACACACACACACACACACCATAAACACACGCATCGCTTACCTGAGTCGTACGCCCAGGATGATGTGATACCCTATGTTGAGGAGACAGACAGACAGACAGACAGACTAATGAAGGGTGACAGAGACTCGTGTAGTGTTTATGACAGACATCTTCATTAGTTCTGTGTATTATACTTTTGGGTTTATTCAGAACATTAAGATAGAACCTGCTGATCGTTTTAACAGGTGTCAAAGGTAAACAGATTTTTACATTGATGTTACCAAGTGTGTGTGTGTGTGTGTGTGTGTGTGGAAGAGAATATACTTTTGTGGTTCACTTGCCTTGTGGTTGTTATATTTTACTCTAAATATCTTATCATCTCGGCCTAACTACCTATAAGGTTATTGGACCATCAATCAACAGTGCTGCATTAAGTTATGTTTAAAAGACTATTAGGTGCCATTGTGATTAAAAGATAACGCGTGAGTTTTGACTGATACGAAGTTATAGTGAAGTGGAATGATATGAGTAATGTGTACAGTGGGCCTCATTGTTCACAGGATGAGGTACCGAACTGAACTACTGTGTGTGTACTGTACTAACTTAATATGTACACTGAGTGGGTGAGGAACATGGAGGGGGGTTAAGGGGGGAAGCGTGCGGTGCCTGGTGCTGGTAGGGACGGAGGGCGACAGTAGTGGTGGAGCGACACAGAGAAAGTGTGATACCGTCCTGGCCAGCGTCCATCTCCGGGTGCCGACACTCTCACCCCAACTCTCTCTTATCATGGATGCTGCCCCACACCTCTTGGTTATCTCACACCCTTAACCTCTTAACTCTTTAATCTTTGACAGTAATTATTAGAATGTTATTTAACCTTTGTCTTTTTAAATGTGTAATACCTGTAAACAAGACTTTTGTTAGTTGAGGACTGATGGCAGGCGGAGGAGAAAGATCATAGGTGGGGTCATGTTTTTCAAGCAGCGACACAATAAGTCCATAGACCGGTAGTGACCAGTGTTCGGACCCTAGTTCTTCATCCTGTCGAACTTCCGGCGTCCGCTTGATGTGTGGCGTTGATGGTGAGAGACAGACAGACTCAGTATGGACCATTATAAGGTGCTATGTCGAGGATGATGCTCGGGTACCTGTGGCCCTCCATCTCACTTGATCAGCTATTGATACACCGTAAATATGACCCACACTCCTTGACCACCAATCGTTCCAAACAATCACGAGGGACAAAACGTAGTGACCTTGTCTACCCTCTGCCAGGTGAGGTGAGGTCAACGATGACTATCAGACAAAGGGTGAACTTATCAGGGTCACGGGGCTATCAGATCATATACACACAAGGACCGCTATGGAAACACTGGACCACCCTGCTGTACACTGGAGCCTTGGGGACCATCTCACAGGATTTATTAAACAAATAAAATGTAATTTTGTATGAATATATATACATATATTACTGCACAGGGCCGCTGTGATAGTGGTTGGTGCTCCTCTGCCCGTGACAGTTACACACGACACGTTGGCCTTGTGTGACAACATCTAGGGATGTGTTGCGAATATACTGTGGTGAGTGAGGCGTGTAGCGATGGATTGTGGTGGTGATTGTGCAACACCGCCAGTTGATCTTGTACACAGTGTATGAAAACTCACGGTACACAACCCAAGAGCTTGTGTGTTCTTGGGCTGGGTGAGTGAAGGTTACGTTGATAAAGGTATTCTGTCTGCAGTATAACTACACAGCGGAAAGAACTAGTGTTCATACTGGGTTTATATTATGTAGTATGTACCATGTAACTCTCGAAGTTGCTGTGTATTGGGGATCAAAAACTCGGCAGACAAACTCATATTTTTTTGAAGGACACCAACTCACTCTGTACGTTACTTTGCACCCTACTCGAGTACAGTCTAGTTGTTATTGTTATTATTAGTAATTGTAATATCACTTGTTATCTTTATCCAGATCATTCCTATCAAAACTATTCTTATCATTATTATTTATATTCCTGCACCAGCTCTGGCCTTGACACGGAGTTTCTTGTATGGCGCGTGACTCACTCTGTTCACCGCACTTTAACAATCCACTTTTTCTTCCTCCTCTTCCATGGTCACTGTAACACACTGTCTCTTCTTACACCCGCTCCATAATAGGAAGGCAAATGTTCGTCTGGTTGTAGCGTCCTAAACAGGGTACATTATCATTGAGGGAAGGGAAGAAACAGTACGACAGGCGCTGCTGAGTGTTCGTGCTGGGGCTTAATTTATACAATCCTCAACCCAGGACGACGGTTCCACTCGGCATAGTACAACAACTTTTGGTAGATTCACAACTTTGTTTTCAGACCTGTATGAGTGTCTATGTATGGACGTCTCGATTGATATTCTGGATTGTTTATACACCGATATGCTGGACTGCTTATACACCGTAGCCTAGCAGATGGAACTAGTACCCGGTAGATATTTTGGATGAACGTAACCACTCATGTACACTAGATTATTGTATCTGGTTAAAATCGCCTTGTAAAACGTAATGCATCTCACATATTACACGAGATTATATATGTACTGTATATGTGACAAAGTGTATCATGCTTATATATTAATTTTTGTTTTGTTCTTTACAGGGCGTGAATCAAGACAAGTTGGGTATCTACATCAAGAGTGTTGTTCCCGGAGGAGCTGCAGACCAGGTCAGTGGTATTAAATTGTCTTAATTATCTCGGCTGCAGTCCAGAGTATTAAAGGAATGTAAGGAAGAGCTTAGTATGCCCTTAGCAAAGTTGTTTAACATGTCCTTAAAAACAGGTGTAGTACCAGAATCCTGGAGGATAGCGAATGTAATACCGATTTTCAAGAAGGGGGATAGATCACTATCCTCTAACTACCTCCCAATCAGTCTAACATCAATAGTAGGCAAATTACTGGAAGCAATCATTTTAAACTCTATTCGAAATCACCTGGAGAAGCACCGATTGATCAATGATTCCCAGCATGGCTTCACAAGCGGACGTTCTTGTCTAACTAATCTATTAACATTCTTTTCATCAGTTTTCGAATCGGTGACGAGGGCACAATTATGATGTGGTATATCTCGACTTTAGCAAAGCCTTCGACAGAGTCCCCCACGAAAGACTAATTAGAAAGGTAGAAGCTCATGGCATCAAAGGTAACATCCTTAAATGGATTAGGGCGTGGTTACAGGACAGGAAACAGCGAGTGAGCATTGACGGCACTAAGTCCCATTGGAGCAACGTCACAAGTGGAGTTCCCCAAGGCTCAGTACTTGGACCATTATTATTTATTATATACATAAACGACATAGATATCGGCATAGACAGCAACATAAGTAAATTTGCTGATGACACTAAAATAGGACGTGTTATTAAATCTGACGAGGACTCAGCAAAACTACAGGAAGATCTAAACAAATTTTTCGAATGGTCTGAAAAATGGCAGATGACATTCAACGTGGACAAATGTAAAGTACTCAGTATAGGAGATGTAAACAGGGAAACCAGATACCAGATGAACAACGATGCCATAGAGAAATCCGACTGCGAGAGAGATTTAGGAGTAATGATAAGTAGGAACCTTAAGCCAAGTAAACAATGTGTTTCTGCTCGTAACAAGGCTAATAAAGTACTTGGGTTCATACAAAGGAGTGTTAGTTACAAGACTAGCGAGGTCATCCTAAAACTGTATCTTGCTCTTGTGAGACCACACCTGGATTACGCAGTTCAGTTCTTGTCACCGTATTACTGGATGGATATAGAATCATTGGGGAGAATGACAAGACTAATCCCGGGCATTAGGAACCTTGAGTATAGAGACAGGTTAAAGCATCTTAATTTGCACTCCCTCGAGAGACGTAGAGCGAGGGGCGACCTGATAGAGGTGTATAAGTGGAAGTCAGGGCTAAACAAAGGGGACATTACAAAGGTACTTAAACTATCCAACCAGGATCGAACTCGTAACAATGGTTTTAAATTAGACAAATTTAGATTTAGGCGTGAAATAGGTAAACACTGGTTTGGAAACAGAGAAGTGGATGAATGGAACAAGTTACCAAAATCATCATTAACTTGAATTCGCTGGATAGCTTCAAACATAGGTTGGATGCTTATATGAGCAATAGGGGTTGGGTGTAAACGGGACTGCCCAGTATGGGCCAATAGGCCCGCTGCAGTTTCCTCCATTCTTATGTGCTTATGTTCTTATGTATTCAAAGAGTGGATCACTTGAAGAATCTCCACCCGTTTATTTTCTCTTACCCTATCCCAACCTAACCTCTTCCCTACAAATAGTGTTACTTTAATTAATCTCTAAGTTATCCCAAAGACGTTTTAAAGCACGTATACTTATTGTTGGCTTGTAAATTGGGTAGTGAACTGATGGTATCACGAATGTCAACAACCAGACTTTATTTGACCTTAATACATAGGATATTACTTATGTCAGCCAAGAGTTCAGAATTTGTTTCGTAGTTGAAGATGTAAGACTACATTTTACTGTTGTACTTCAACTTAATCTGAAATATTCAGAATTAGCATCAAAATATCGGGCGTTCAGCAGTTACAGACCATCTTATTGTTACGAGGAATATTCATCATGTGATCCGTTAAGACTCTAAAGCCAGGGACCCGTTTGTGATGTCACTTTGACTGGGAGTGAATCTGATATTTCTGTGAACAAGTTGATCAGCACAGCACTGTTGCATATTTGTTGCATCGTTCTATTTATGGATTGTAATACCACTGTGTTAGCATTTATGTGTAGTGTTGAGGTCTTAATTTCCTATGGATTTTTTCTGTGGATATCAGTACAGTGAAATTAAATGTATTAATAATGGGATAATTAAATATTATTGTTTGCGTGGAGAATTAGATGTACTGGTGTGGTAGGAGGCAGAAAGTGATTCGTGGTGACAAGCTAAGTAACCAGCTCCTGTGTTCTGTTCCCCATGTTCCCACGCCGCCCCTTAGTCACCACTGGTCGCTCACGCACCCTTTGTGGCCTTCATCCTTCACTTACACTGCAATTATCCCCATTACCACTTTGTTCCTATAATTCAGAGGTTTGTTGCCCATAAGGTAGTCAGCCAGCCAGTCTTCTCTCGATTATCTGGAGACGAATTCTTGACGGATATAAGTTGTTACCTGTGTACTTCCACCTTTTTTTTTATTTGCCAAGTGCTGTTTGTTGCGCACACACAACAGTTTCCACGTTATCCACACATCAACCCAGCCTTGTATTCGCTTCATGCATCTACCGTCTCCCTCATTGCTCACGAACAATTCTACCTGTTGATAGCTTTACGCCTCAACATCCGCTTGCCAAGGCCGCCGCCAATTTATCGTCACACGCAGTCGTGGTCACTGCTATATCAACACTGCTAACCTGACTTACAGACCTACACGTATTTTCAAAGTCCCAGGTTTTTATTGCATTCTGGCTATAACCCATTTCCTCTGTTACAAAATATTATACCGTGTCAACGTGTAGTTTTTATTGACTATGTTTGTATTGTCTGAGGTTTTCGTTGCGTGTCGCTAAGTGAAGTGGTCCACACCCTTGGTTTTGAAAATTGTTCCCGCACCCACCTGGCTCCATTGTCCGGTCGTGTGTGTATATATCTGGTCTTTTGTCCACACTTACATATACACACATTGTGACGTGTTCCATTGTCCCTGCAGATACACACAAGGCCAGATACCTGTATTCAGTTGCCCACACAGAAGGGACACCCCAGACGAAGTGTACAAAAATATACAGCAGGACACTTGAACAGCGTCTTAAATTATAATAATATAACGAATACATGAATACACGATCATGTCCAAGTACATGAACATTTCACCAGAGGATCTTCCTTGAACATGAACACGACTAGATGGTCAAATGCAAGAAAACTTGACCCAGGGCTAAAGGACATGAACACACGACCACACGCAAAATCCACGCCCATGCCATTCACTTAAATACGTGACCAAGTGTTTTCACATGCAACTTTATATGGAAATGTTCACTTGTGTGCTGAGTAAGTTTGTACTGGGGACACGGGGTGGATTGATTTTTTTATTTTGCCGCTTGCAGCGGCTACTTTATTGTGCACCCCACACTCATCCTTGTGAGCGGTAGCGCAAAAGGATTACAGAGTAGGGTTTACAAAGGGTCATAATAATTAACCCCCGTTCTCAGGATATTATGCACTGAATGTTACACAGTATTTCATTTACATTATTTGTTTAGTTCTATACATAAAGGGTAACTTATTCACAAATGCGTGAGTACAGGCGTGTGAGGCAGTATGTCTGGCCTCACATTTTGTTATTCACATTTACGTGGGAGGTATTCAAGCACATTGCGTATTTGGTTCTGTACATGAGAATTGATATAGTTACTAAGTGCAAAAAAGTGGATACAATCTTAATATGTCGGCTGTCTTGCCATTAGAGATGAAGTGTTGTGCCATTTCACACACAGTGTGCTTGGACCTGTCCCTAAAAGGTTCTATCTTCACACAGTCGAGGACGTAGTGTTCAAGTGTGTGGCCATATGTATGGCCACACACTTTACATTTAGTTTTGTTTACATCTGCTTGAGGAACATACTGCCAAAGGTACTTATATCCTTACCTTAATCTAGCGGTTACAACATCTTGTAATCTAGTGATCGTGTTACTTGCTCCATATACATGTTTCACTTGATACATCTCATCATGGTAACCTATGGATCGACTAGTGCCTGTTTGCACTTGTCTACTTGCGTCAAACTCATCAATAAGTTATTTCCTAATTACAGTTTTAAGGGTTCTTTTTGACAGACCCAAATTGTATTCAACGGTGTCTTTGTTAGACGCGAGTTTGGCGAGGGCATCAACTCTGTCATGTTTTATGAGGCCTATGTGAGAGGGGATCCACAACAGTTTGACCTTGACACCCCGGTCAACAAGGCACGCATATTTGTGTCTGGCTTCAGAGACAAGAGCGTGACAACCTGAGTCGAGGGTACCAAGGGCAAGTAGTGAGGATAGAGAGTCAGTGATGATGAGACTGTCAGTAACAGTGGTTTCAATGAATTTAATAGCTGTGAGTATGGCAACTAATTCAGTTTGTAGAGTGGATGCCCAGTTGTTAATTCTAACTAGAAGAGTGCGTGTGTGTGTGTGGTGTTGGAGGCAGGGTGAGCCACGGCTGCAGACTGGGTCAGTGGTCCGCACCACTGTACCTTCACACAAGGCTCTGGGCACTAGTACTGTGTAGGATGGTCAACCCTTAAGTGAGAGACGAAACAAACAAAGCTGACGTCAATCTGGGGTTTCACGATTAATTAATGATGGAGAAAACGTGGGTGAGGGAGAATTGCAGGAAGAAGCCTAGTGCGGAAAGCGTGGGCACCGAGGTCCACTACATCTGGACTTGGCGCCCCGCCAGCTACCAACCTGTTCATCCCAGTGTTCTTCCTCCTTTGTATTTTGTTATTAATATCCATAGTAGACGCGTTCTCTAATAAACTCCCTTCAAATTAGTGTAACCAGTTTACATCCAATTTTGTCAAGTTAGAGATCGGTAATGGTGGTCATGTTACCTAGGCGTGTGTGGGGTAGGTAGGGAAACAGGTGTTTGTGCTTAAATGTTTGACACAAATTTTTCTGAATTAACACAGTATTGACATTACTCGGATGAATTTTAGAGGGCACTGTCCGGACTTCTCACAGGATGTTCCTTAGTACTGTTACTCTAACCTAACTGAAACAGGGAAGTGCCCCGGCTCGTCTTACCTCACTATTACCCGCACACCCTGCAGGCCAGTGTACCGCCCTCCATGTTAGCTTAATGACACTCTCCAAGTGTAGGTACTACTTAATTATGGTAAGAATTGAAATATTATTGAATTGTCTATAGAAACTGTTATTTTAGACAATATTTACCTTTAAGTAGCAGGTTATTACTGAACGTAGAAGAAAATTGTTACGATATTCCTGTAGGCTATGATGATGATTGGGACCGTGTGAATAACATTTATAAGATGAACAAACACAACCATTGTTTGTGGCAGGTCCTGAGGTCGAGGGGTTCAAATTAAATTATCCCTTCAGGGCACGTGGGAAGAGGCAGAGAGCAGGACTACTAAAGAAGCCAGTGTAAAAAGTAGTAAAGTTACAATAATAGGGGGGAAGAAGCCTCTTAAACTGTTCTGTAGGAATCTGGAGATGGCAAGATCACCAGACCCATGTTTCGCTGTAGACCGTGTTAGTGTAGTAGTTGCCATGCCAACAGTGTTATCAGTGTAGTGTTGGACTTGGGACCCCAAAATAATATGTAGTATTGTTCTTTAAGTTGAGTCTGGCGGCGCCTGTAGTAAAGCTTATTCTACGTCTCCCATTCTTTAACTCAGGAACCATAATTGTAGGCTGGGGGCCGCCTTAACCCATGGGGAGTTTAATTCAGCTTTAGAATATTGAAAAAATCTCAGACAGAACACAAAGAATTAAGCACTACCTTGTAAACTGTTCTTTCAGTGGGTTGGTGGGGTCTGAGGTTCGCACCTGGTTTTCACCCGGTAATTAAACATCTCAACACTATTTACGTTGTTAGAATAATTGTATCATATATTGAAGTCTTCATATTTCTCCCTAGAGATAGAAACTATCGAAGTACCATTCAATTGGCCAGTATTTCACGGTTCTGTACAGTTTGCGTGCGTGACGTGGATTTTTTTTTTTTTTTGGTGGTGGTTGGTGGTGTGGTTAGGTATTTCCCGTTATTATGTGGTATTATGTGGTGCAGTGCTGAGTTATCCTTGGCAGAGTGGCGTCCATGGACCTCACCTCACCCTCCAGCCAGTTGATGTCTTCTCAACATCACCCTTCAAGGATAGATCCAATTCTCGCTTTTCGTTTATCACATTTCGACGTGAGGTTTTCGATAGTTGTTAATAAAGAATTCCTTTGATAATAGTAGTACTGGTTGATAACCCTTTATCCGAAATTCCAAAAACCGAAAAGCTCTGGGGGTTTTTTTTTACGGGGGAGGGGGGGGGGGCAATTTTTTTAAACCAGGATTAGCCCACCCAGGCATAGGTCACTGACCCACATCGGGGGTCTGGGGGGGGGGAGAATGTAATAGTAATAATAATAATAATAATAATAATAATAATAATAATAATAATAATTATAAATAGTAAATAAAAATTTTAATAAAAATACACCAAAATAAAATAATAATAATAATAATAATAAAATATAAGAATAAAATTAATAATAATAATAATAATAATAATAATACTGTAATAATAAAATAATAAAAATACAGGGTGGGCTAATACACGTTAAAAAAATAAATAAAAAAATACAATATAAAATAAAATTCTGAAAACCGAAAAATTCCGAAAACCGAAAAATTCCGAAAACCGAAATGCCTGTGGCCTCAAGGATTGTCAACCCGTAGCAGAAACTCAATACTGTACTGTACAGTATTTGTCATGTACTCCATGTTAGATAGTGTTTGTCTCTGAGAAAGGTAATGTACACTGAAAGAAAAAAAGAATAAATTACATGCAGGCAATAAAAGGTTTCAGCAGTTCAGTGAAAGTGTAGCAAATTACAAAAACACACACGTTGATACTTATCATAAACTTAACACTTAAATGGCCTAAGTAAACAATTCACAAGTGTACAGTACTGTGCAGTCTTTCCTTGCCGTTTTGTCTCCATACCCTAAAGACCTGGCTAAGCTTAAAAGATGCATTAACAGCCCTTATACAGAGTCGCCCTGTGGCCGTGGTTCACAGTTAACATACCGTAGATAGGCAGTTATAGTATGAACCATTGTTACTGTAAACTACTGGTAGGGTATAACAGTGCATGAATGTTTGAATGGTATTGAAAAATGTAAGATATGGAGGAAAACTATGATGATAATTTAGACGACTAAGAAAATAGTTCATTGTATACACGCAGTACAGTACAGTACAGTATATGAAGTTTGTAGAGCAAGACTTCAGAGTCAAAAACTGCAAACTTTTTTATAATTCATTTGTAGCCTCAAGTAAGAAGACAGACTACTCTGGGTACAGATACTGTACAGTACAAGCTTAGTAAGGTCTGATGTGCTTATTTGTTAAAGACATAATGAGGTGAGGACTGCTTATTTAGACGATGGAGGTGATTAAAGTTACAATATTGTACCTAGAGTGATTATAAAGGACTGAGAGATAATATTAAGGAGCCAGACTGCATTAGTGAGTGTTTTCAGAGGTGTGGATGATGCGGCAGGTGCAAAGGAATGAACTTGTGTCATGTTTGGATTACATTCCTGTACAACACTGTGTGTTGGTTTGAATTGTGCCAAGAGAATGAATATACTGTACTGTACAGTACTGTAGAGGGAAGACAGTAAAACTATGAACAGTCTTAGATTACCGGTGTAGTACAGGTATTGCAATCTGTGGTAACATAAATAAAGAAATACAAACAATAGAATTTAGGTAAAATAAAAGATAATAGTAATGGTACAAATGCATAGATTTAGTGCAGTTCAGTATAGCAGTTATTACCTAATATACTGTACAGTACCTGCTTAACATAGAAAACTACTGTACTGTACAGTGAAAATACTGAGTACTCACCTGAACTTCTTTTACAGGATGGGCGACTACAGGCAGGTGATCAGCTTCTATCAGTAGATGGGAAGTCTCTGATTGGCATCACTCAGGAACATGCAGCTGAGTACATGATGGAAACTGGCCCAGTAGTGACCTTGGAAGTGGCTCGGCAGGGAGCCATTTACCATGGACTGGCTACAATCCTATCACAGCCATCACCACATGCTAATCGAGGTGAGATGAGTTCTGTAATTATTCTTTATTACACTGGTTTCAGAAATTCAATTTCCTCCAACTGTTAAAGTGAAAGGAGCACTTATTTATATAATATTTTTGATTTTCAGATAAATTAGAGTAGATGGCATGTGTATAAGTTCAAGAGAAAGTGTTGCTTTTACTAACATAGTCTTATTTAGCAGTGCTTCTTTGTAATAGCATAAAGTTTGTCCAGGTTACAAACTGTACTAGATTATGAAGATCTGGGTGTATCATGTACTGTACCGTATATAAATTGAAGTGTGTCACTTTTGCTCTTGTTCTTGTTATTCTTATGTGTAATCTGTTGGGGAAAATACATGAAATGATTTACTGTTAGGATTATATTTTTATTATCTAAGAAATAGATTAAATGATATTTAGAATCTCACTCCTAATGATACTCACTTAAATTTGCATGATGAACATGGTCACATGTGGATATAAGTCAGATAAAATTCCTGCATGTAAACTGATTACAGTACTGTACTGTATACAGAAAATTATCATCTAACATAAATGTTCAAACAATTGTACCAGTTTGTTAATGCATGGCAAAAAAAAACTTAGCAGGACCACACAGTTATAAGAATATTTATAATATTGTATCTCAATATGGTTACTACATTTGGTGTTTATTATAAAAAATAAGTGTCTAGAAAAAGTTTATTTTATACATTATAAGTGTTAAGATTTATGTAAGGCATGTGTAAGCGTGTGTTGCTTTGCCAAAGGTATATTGCTAACGAGTCTGTGATGCTAAGCTAGCCACTAACTGTTCTAGCATCCCTGCGGAAGATGCGTCCTCGAGCAGAGGAGGCTCCTCGTGCGGCCATGACTAACAGCCAGTCCACGCCTAACATGGGCGGGTACAACGAGCGGCTGGTGGACTGGAATCAGCCTCCTCGCCAGCACCCCCTCCCCCCAACCTCCTCCCACAGCTCTCTGATGGCCAGGTCTAGCCCCAATCTGGCAGCTCCAGCTGAAGGTACAGATGTGAACCATTCGGCCTCGGCCCCCACTAACAAGCCAGCCTACGCTCAGTCCAAGCTGTCCCCATTGCGTACCTCCTTACCTAATTTGGGACCTCATACTCCTCCCCTTTACCCTCCTCCACTAATTTCTGTCATTCCCTCTGAACGGGTAGAGGTTGGCATTGAACACCGCACGATGAATCACACCCGCAATAATCCTAATTTACCAAAATATACTTTTACCCCTTCATCAGATACAAGTTCTTCCTCTTGTAATATATCCACCTCCTCATCCTCATCCACGTCTTCCTCGTGGAGACTACAACAACGAGATGTAGGCCATGGAGCTGGGTGTGCTGCCATCAGAAGGGGCTCTGGTCCACCTAACTTGATAGCTGATAGTGGCATAGACCTCAGTTGTCACATGCATGATGATGCTAAACCCTGGCGCAGCTTAGTTGATGTTTCTCTCAAGGAGGATGTTGACGGTGCCGTGGACTATCATTGTGAGAAACCCGGTACAACTAGTACTGCAACGGCCACAGACCCTTTACCCCCTCAGTTGGTCTCCCGTATCTCTTGTCCTCTCCTTCCATCTCGTCCAGTTTTAGGTCCCTCCACTGAGAATAATTCAAACAGGCGCCGTCCTACCCTTCGTCAACAAATGAGCTTAGCTCCTTCCATAGCACAGTCATCTCCTTCCCTCCTGTTAGTCCACTCCCCCCCTTCTTCCCCCTCTCCATCGCAGGCGTATCCTCTGCAGCTGCAGCAAGCATCTAGTGCCGCCCCCATCGGTAACTGAGTGAGCCCCCGTGGCACAGTGAGAACCTTCTGCTTCTCTCTGTCAGGCACTCTGTGTGAACCTTGCATGTTTCCACCTGCCCCAGTGCTCATGCATCATCAGCAACATACAGCTGCATCCTGACACATTTCCCTTATATGACAGATACAGAACATTCTGTACTGACACAATTAAATCATGTACTGTACTGTACCAGTAGTTTTTCTAGTTTGGAACGATATTAGTTTGTCATAAAAACATGTTATGGCTAAATAAACTAACTTGAATTTTAGCTGAGAGTTACCTGTAGATAAGTACGTTTTAGTTCGTAGATGTTGCTTCAGAAAATGTACAGAAATATTGTAGGAATTGGTCTGACATATAAGAGAATCCTTGTTTAGTATTAGTATAATCCTTGAGGCATGATACACAAGTTAGTCAAGTCAGATTATAGAGTTCTTGTCATCTTAATAGTACTGAAATAGATTACTGTAATATGTTACTTATATTACAGTACAGTACATAATTATGACATGAAGTCTTACACACACACACACACACACACACACACACACACACACACACACACACACACACACACACATTCACACTGACTCGAACCTTGTTTTATGATTACAGTGTTGTCTCAGATCAAACTATATTTAAACAACTGTATTTAATATTTTAAAAACTGATGACCACAGAACATTAAAATGATAAGTGTAAAAATTATGAAAAACTATATACAGTGAAGGAGTCAGGCCAGACATGCATATAATTTTGGGGGTGAAAGTTCTTAAATATTTCAAACTAAACTTTTATGGGGAGTTATCCATTGAAGTCTTAATTGCTCATCAAAAATTACTATATTTCACAATCTTTCAAAACACAACACAGAAATATCACGTAGAAATTTATGACGAGACAAAACTCGGTAACTGGCTGTTGTATGGTGCAGGGGCAGGACCGGATGACCACCTTGCACGGTTTTGCATGCACAGTACTTAGCACATCCCTACTAACTCAAACCCACCGATAATTTTATATTTCTTTCCAGATTTTTTTTATTTTTATTTGTTTATATGCCCTCACTGTGTTCTTCCTAATGTTCATGACTGTACTGTATTTCTGTCCCACTCAGAGTAACTATACTACAGTACCATAACTTAGAACAGTGAAATATTTAAGATCTCTGTTTATTTCACATCCCTGAAGTTCTTGATTATTTCAATTTTAAGTTTTCATGGGTTTAAATATATCAGTGAGTGCATATTGTTTATTTCAGAAACACAATATGTTCAATTTTATTTTGATGTATGAGTTTCGTGTTTGTATTTTTTTTTTTTTTTAAGAATTTCATGTACTGTAGTGACCAATTTGTTTTCTTTATGTTTGATTTTAGACAATATATGTTTGTAGTTTTTTCCTATACAATATTTACAATAAACAATTTTGAGTGACTTGCCGTTGTGTGTGTGTGTAAAACTGTAGAGATACTAGGCTGTAGATATACTCCTATTTTAAAAGGAATTTGTATGTGACAAGACTGATGCTGGGAGTTGATTTGAACTTGAAAATGTTATACTCCACTGGGATATTATTGGCAATATTAAAAATAGTCAAATTATATCAAATCAGACTTTGCATTTAAACAGCTACTGTATTAAGTACTAAAAAAGTGTGTGTGCATAGTATAGACAGTTATAATCAGATCATTTAGAGAAAATTAAAGTTGCTATGACATAGTTGTTGCATTTCACAAGTGGACTTAAAAATGCTAAATTAGAGTAGGTTGAAATAAGATTATGTACAGAAGTTTACAAAAGATTTAGTTTCAGTAGGGAGTGAAATGGAGGCTTGTGCATATATCAGAGAGACTGAATGTATACAGTAATTGGGAGTGTCTTATTTATTAATGAATTTTACACTGAGATGAATGTGTTAGGAAGCCAAGAGTATTGTAAATAAAGCACATTACTGAAACTGTATGTAGTAGTGATAGAAAAATAACAAAGTTCTTACACTCCTCAGTAATGTTGAAGTTGGGTTGGGTTGGGTTGAGTTGGGTTAATTGATTCTCTTCAGATCCTTGAGTGTGGTTAAGAGAAAATGAAAAAATAAGATAGATGGGAAAGGAAAAGCAGAGGAAGTACAGTGCAGTATTAAAATGGCCATGGTTGACAACATAATGGTGAAGAAAGATGGAGGAATGAGATGGTGTTAGGCTGACAACTGATGGAAGTGAGAAATGGTTAACAAAAAAAGTATACTATAAGATTAAGGTGGATGACATACAGTAGGTAGAAGAGAAGGTTCCATGAGCAGTACAGTGTATGGACAGCTTAACCCCTTGTGTATGGGGTCTCTCTGCTGAATAAAATTGTGTGATATTAGCCAAATAAAATATTAAAAGTGGCATCCTCATCATGAAGGGTTAAGGAATGAATGTGTTGAGATCTAGTGAGGATTCGGCTCTGTTTATATATTAGTCCTAAATTAAATATTCAGTTTAGGCAGAAGAAAAATGCTCCATTCTATCTGATACTTGTTCAGAAGTTATCTCTTTGATCTTGTCAATTCCTGTGGAGTTAACATTTTCTGAAGCTGTTTACTATAATGATGAACTAAAATGTTATAAACATCTTTACAAAAGAACTTTACTGTAATACTTAAATACTTTGGTTTTATAAGAGGTAATGGATTTAATGCCTATACAGGACTGTACTACTAATGTTCTTTTGGAGAGCTACAGTGGGTTAACACATGAATTATTACTATACCATTTGCATAATACTGTACTGTATGCCACCATATCCCAGGGCTCCTGCAGAAATATATTACATGATATTCATTTTCTAATGCTACCAAATTCGGTCACTGATCTAAAGTTTTCCTTTAAAAACTCCCACCAGTTTTATGCATGTTTATCAGGGGGGTGTATCCTTCCGCACTTGGATGGGAGCCGTCCTTTATCCCACCTCTTTACATGTAAAATTTATAATCTTGGCACCAGTCGTTGTCATTAGTTTTTGTGATATTCATTGTTATTAGTGTTTGATTATACATTGTGTGTGTGTGTGTGTGTATATATATATATATATATATATATATATATATATATATATATATATATATATATATATATATATATATATATATATATATATATATGCATCACTGCATGCTGATAACCACAAGGAAAGAAGAGAACACGAAGTTCCCAAGCGCTTTCGTGTAATTCACATCTTCAGGGGTGAGTACAGACTAAAGAGAAATACAAACCAAGGTGTATATATACAGAGGAGGGTGAGACCAGGTCCACAATGGTCAGGTATTAGGTAATGACCCTACTAATCTTTAAATAGCACACAAAGGTTGGTGGTCAGGTCAGAGGGTAAGGTGACCCAACTTTCTCACCTGGTTACAAATCTTCTTAATTACAAAATTGTCCAGTTTGTACAGGCCATTACTCAAATTCATGTTGAATGCTTCGGTATGTTTAATAAGACTAGATTCTATGATGTTCAATTGGACAATGGACAATTTTGTAATTAAGAAGATTTGTAACCAGGTGAGAAAGTTGGGTCACCTTACCCTCTGACCTGACCACCAACCGGTGTGTGTTATTTAAAGATTAGTAGGGTCATTACCTAATACCTGACCATTGTGGACCTGGTCTCACCCTCCTCTGTATATATACACCTTGGTTTGTATTTCTCTTTAGTCTGTACTCACCCCTGAAGATGTGAATTGTGGTTGTTTTCTTCTTTCCTTGCAAATATATATATATATATATATATATATATATATATATATATATATATATATATATATATATATATATATATATATATATATATATATATATATATACACACACACACACAGTGTATACCACATAGATGTGCTACTATAGTCTGTGCAAGAATATAGAATAACACAGGATTAATTAGCTCTGTTAATGTTATAAATCTGTAGTATTTTTTATGTTTATCAAACTTATATATAACCATCAGCAAGGTGTGTAATAATTCTATCCAGTATTCACATAACTAAATTCAACAAATAAAAAACAAAACATGGTACATATCTTCCTGTTTAAAAAATAATTGAAGTAGTATTTATAAGTCAGATACTGTATATATATATTTCAGTTTTGTAACTGTTCTATTAATTGTTCAGGTTACCCTGGTGGTCGACATTTGAGTGAGCGCGACCTTCCATCAAAAGTACTCGGTGAACACAATCAGGACCCCCCAGCACCCTCTCACCTCCACCAGGCTCCTCGTATGCAAGCATCTAAGTCTGTCCCTTCACTTAACAGTAAGTTCCACTCTGTCTTGTATCCTATTAAGACTGAAGTTTCTTTTCTGTACTGTATTAAAATGCAGTCGTCTATTTTTTCAAGCTATAAGTTAAAATAATTAAAGTTTTGTATATATATTCTGTACTATAATTCAGCTAACTTATGAGACACTGAACATGGTAATATACAGAAGGTGATGCTTTTAGTGGTGATTATTTTAAAAGAATTATGAGAGGATAAAGCATTATTTATTTATAGTTATTATGATAGTTCGGCCATTTCTGTATGAATATACAGTATGGTTATGTTAAAAGGAGTAAAAAATACAGGGTGATCCAAAAATTTCTGTTCACCTGCAATAATTAAAAATGTAGTTATTTACCTTGTTCTACTTACACTAAATATTGGAAATTGTTACAATAAATGTTGTATGTGGATGACATTCTAAGTATTTACTGTAATTAGAGCAAGGTATATATAAGTATAACAATAAATAACTATATTGATAATTTTTGCAGGCACAGAGGGACTGTTAGATCACCTTGTGTTACAATATTTAATGGTAGACAGCTGCCAAGTGGTAAGAGTATATTAGTAATATTTATGGAACTATCCTGCTGAATATTAACTAGATAAAATGTTAATTAGTGATGAGTGTAATTTTTTGTTTGTGCTGTTTGTATAAAGTTACTTTAGAAATAATAATATTAACTGAACTATATCATTAAATTTTTGCAGGTGAAGCAGGTAATAGTGTAGGAGGGAAGCCAGCTTCTCTTGAGGTGTTCAACCCTTCATACTCCCGCACCTCATCCAACACTTCACTCTCCCAGCCTCCTAACCCTCACTTTCCTCACCACCCCCATCACCATCACCAACAACAACCACAGCAACCACCACCACAACAACAACCACAGCAACAACAACCACAGCAACAACAACCACAGCAACAGCAACCACAGCAACAGCAACCTCCAGTCCGTTCCAGGTCAGTAACTTGTCCTGCTGTACAGTTATTATATAGTGTCTGGCAAAATTAAGTGTTGTTTTGTGTGGTCTTAAGTATTTCTCTACATTAGGTTCTTGTAGTGATAGGAGTAAAATCTTCAAGATACTAAGACAAAAATGAACTGCCTTCAAAAGAGTCAGGGTCTCTCTGTTAGTTTTCTGTTTAACCTAAATTTTGATCAATTTTCTTCCATTTTAAGGGTAATTATTTATTATTATCTGCAGTGAAAGCCCATGACAAATATTCAAGTACTGTACTTTTATTTTTTTATTCTCTTTTATCCAGTAAATCTTTTTAGAGCAGAAATTCATGGCAGAGGAGAGATTATGACAGAAGATTTATGACAGCAAAGTTGAAGGCATGAGAGTGAGAAGAAGATAAAGAATAGAGTGGAAATGTTAAATAGGTGAATTAGGGAGATTAGGAGTTCACATTTTATACAGTAGTGTCAAAGTAAACAAAGAAAAGTAACAGGTGAGGGGGAGGTGAGATTGACTGTGTATATGTAGACTTAAATATTGGGAAAAATTTTTCTAGACTTTCTTCATCATTCACTGAAACTCGCTCAAAATGTTTTTCAATTCATGCGACATTTTCAGGTCCACTCAAAATTTGAGTGATGGGGGTTATCCAGGTCCTGTTGGTCGTCATCCAAGTAATCCAAGCCTCGTGGTAGAAGAAGAACGTTACTACCAGAATGTAAACTTTCATCAAGGCCCACAGGACTCTCGCATGGGTTCCATGCGTACTCGTCCAGGCCAGGCACTACCAATGGGCTCTCCAGCATCACAAGACTCTTCAGAACACCTGCGATCTGATATTCGGCCAGACCATCGCCCAGACCATCGCCCAGCTTCAGCTTTTATGCAGCGTGAGGATATGATACCTCACCGATCAGAATTACAACGCCCGGCCTCCCAGCGGGATCTTCGTGCTGATGCAAAGATGTTAGAAATGACAGAAGAAGTGCGAAGGAGAGAGGAAAGGGCACGTCACAATGGTCACCCACCAACTACCCTACCACTAAGATCAGGTCAACACCATCCACCTCACCGTGTGCCAAATGCCTTCTCTCCAGGAAGTGCCCCCTTCTCACCTGAAGGCTACAGTGGGTCACAAGGCTTCCCAGGTCAACACATTGGTTACCACCATACTTCATCACAGCCACTTAGTCCTCAGGGGACAATGGCAGGACTTCAGCAAACACCTCAGCATGCCCATCCACAATATAGTGGCCCGGGGCAAAATATGTCCAATAAACTTCCTCCTCCAACAGCCCCAAAGCCAAAATCACAGAGTGGACCCCAGGGTCCTATATTGTCTGATGCCCCGGAGAAACCATCTCGACAGTATGGCTATGAAGGAAGTAATACAGCTGATGGGCCCCCCAGACCGCCCCCACCAGAGGATGGGTATCGGGACTCACCCCCACCTCCTCCACCCCCTACATCTACTCATCCACTTCTCCAGGGTAACCGGCCAGCATCTAGTGTAGGCCACTCTAGCCAGTTACCTAGTAAATCTGCTTTCAACAAGACAAGTCCATGGGATAGAGAACAAAAGGAACTGGTAAGAATGTGCTGCACTAGCATGTGCGTATTGTCATTGTCATAAGTAAAAGCAGAATTCACTGTTACTGTACTTAATTGGTCATTTTTTATATCAACCATCTCTTGGTATGGTAGATTGTTGCTTAATATTTATTATTTAAACTTGAGCTTTAATTTTTCAACATGACCATCTTTCCTTTCAGACTGAATCAAAGTTATTTCATAATTCAGAATTTCAGTTTGTTGATGCATCTCTTGTAGTAGGCTTGATTCTATGGATACAGTATTTCCATTGAAATTACAAAGTTTTCTAGATACACTACTATTATCCTCCATACTAGCACAGTTGACAAGAAATTTTTTCAGAGCACAACAAAATGAGAAGGACTTTTTGCCCTGGGCTAACATAAACAAACTATTTACTAACTATGCATGCACATTAAATCACTTCATATTTGAAGGGTAGATAAAACATTAAATAAATGTCAGAGAAATCATTCACACACACACACACACACACACACACACACACACACACACACACTACCACATGCAGTTGTTTACTGGTGTAATCATACTGTATTTATCTAGTTTAAGAACATTTTATTTTAAAAGTAGTTTTGCTCGAGTACAGTACATGTATTCTGTAATATTGGAGCAAAAACCTGTTGTGAAAACATAAAGTTTGTGGGATACGAGTATGTACAAGACAACCGTAAGTTTGTGTAACACTGAGTGTTACACATCGTGAGTGAGAAATATGATTCAAGTATGAGTTTAAAATTATTTTTATTGTTTAATTGAGTAATAGTAGAAGGACCAGGTGTAAATTAAATCCTGTTAACTGGTTGTTCATTAAGTGGGAACTTACTGTAGTAGTCATGTGCTTCTCTGGTCTGGTTATCTTCATCAAAGCAAAAGATCACAGTATAATTATCTTAACCAACGTATTGAGACCCATGATGTGGAGAGTGGTATTGCTACAGTTGTTTGATCAACATTGTCTAGCTTTAGAAGTGTGTGTAAGTAAATATTGTGTCTGTACCGAAATTGATTTTTTTTTTCACACCAGCATGATCGCCGTCGTCGTGAGGCTGCACGACACTGGCGTGATGAACAGATTTCGTCACTGGAAAATCTTGATGTACGTACATCTCAGCAGGATGAAAGACTTAGAACACTTCGCTTAGAAAAGGAGTTTCAGCGACGAGCAGAGGAAGCTCTTACAAATGATGATGATGATGATGACGATGACGACGATGATGATGACGATGATGATAATAATGAAGCTGTGGAGGTTGGAAATGATAATGACATTAATCTTAGACGAGGTCCAGAGAACATTGTCATTAGAGAATATAATAAACCTCCAAATACTACCACAGTCATCACTCCAGGACAAGAGTCACGAATGAATGGTGGAGGTCCTACTGATGAAGAGCGAGCAAGGAAGGTTGATGAGATTCGCAGGAAACAACAAGAATTAGAGGCTGCGAGGGAGGTTGAAGAGCGTCTGCTGCGGGAGGCTCAGCGCCGACAACAAGAGGAACAGATGCGTCGTTTCCAGGAGCAGCAGCAGCAGCAGCATCAACAACTTCAGCAGGCTGCTCCTCAACATCCACAATACCAACATCAACATCATGCAACCCAAAGGCTTGATTCACTTGTTGCCACTCCATTCCATTCTCAGTATAGCAATGGTCCTGTAAATGGGATGCGAGGACCTCATAACAGTTATCCAGACCAATCAGGAGTCAGTGAGAGCAACCTTCGCCCAGATACTATAACAACTGCAGCACAACACAGTCCAATTCCACCTGAGCGAGGTTCTTCCTACTCCATAATGCAACAGCAAACAGTCCCTCCTACACAGCCAGGACCTAACAATCGTTACAAAGGTCCTGATGCTCCACCGGCAACTATCAAACGTGTGCAGTTCTCAGAGACTACAACTGTTGATGCACATATAACCTATGATAATAATGCCAACCAAGAGAAGACACCACGACAGGACCCAAATGTATGTTAAGTTATATTGTAAAGTATTTCTTTGTACTATGTAATAATCCCATTTTTTCTGTATTTTGGTCAAAACTTGCATGGCACTTCTTTCTGTAAATGTTATCTTACCTTATGACTTCTTCATTTCAAGCATATCAGACCCTACTTTCACAAGGCAAGTAAAAGTGCATGATAATGTCACCTAATTCATCTATAATAGCCGAGATATTTGCATCAACAAAGATTTATTTAATTTTAATAATTTTTCATCCCATAAGTTTGTTTGATTACCAGCTGCAGATTAAATTTGTCAATTATTGTGTTGGTTAATTAATAGTACATAATATTACTGCACTTATATAATAACCAAACAACATTTTAAATTGTTACTGCTCCTCTTTATCAGTCTCCAGGCAGGACTGTGTAACTTATCCAGGTCTCTAGAAAACTTAGTACTCTTTTCCCTATTTCTGACCATATTTTTCCCTTGCAAAATACACATTTATATAACAAACATTTCTTCCCTGTACTCACACTTTAGGAGATGTATCTCACTTGTTCTTAGTCCACCTTGAGTAAAATACAGTACTGTACTGTACAGTATACTGTTATGTGCATTACCTATGATAAAACTCTCAGTCAGTTACCCTCTGGTTCTCATCCACCATCCTGTGTCCTCCCTTCATTATTCTACATTTGCTTGGCACTTTTCGGTTCATTACACATGCTTGCCAAGTTATAATTCATTGTACAGTATTGTTAAAAGAATAGTAAGTTATTCTTTTTAATGGAAGCAGGTGACAACTGCCTAAGTGAAAGCTGCACCAAAATGCTTTCACTAGTACAGTAGTAAGAAGTGCAAAAAACTTGAAGTGGCCTTTTGCATATACTGTACAGTAATATACAGTGCTATAGAATTATGTATATTTTATGGGATTAGTATTTATTGTAGTGCTAGAAATTAGTTTTAATGATATCTAAATAAGATTGTATTTTATTTCACAGAACTTTATAAATGAGGCTGAAACTATATTAAACTCATCGCCAACACGCAGTGCTGGAGGCAGCACCCCAGGTGTGATAGGCGCTCAGGAGGTGTATAGGTAAGGCAATTTATTGTACTGTATTAAAAAAATACAATGAAATGCCTCATAAAATCTCATCTGAATTTTTCGTATTTTATGTGCAATAGGTATGTGTATTGTGGATGAAAGACTTGAGGTAGATCATCCAATTTTAAATTTAAACAATAAAAATATCTTGTTAATACATGTCATATCGTTAAAACTGAAGAAAAAAAATTTACTGTGTCAGAGGCTACTGAGAGATCCAGGAGAGAGGACTTTCTTGTGCAAGTGTTTATTACCAAGTCGTCGTGAATTTTACATAAGGCAGTCTCAGTTGAATGGTGCTTCCTATAAGCTGACTGAACTAGAGGGATCGCTCCATTTTTCTCTTAACAGAGGAAATAACTGATCCAACATTGCATGTTTGATGACCTTTGATAAGTATGAGAGATTGGAGACCGGACGAGAATTAATTTGACATATTTTTAGTATCATGACCAAGTTCTGAGAAATATGCTTTATTGCATATAAAGCATATTTCTCAGAATGCAAATTATATGTCTGTCAGGTTCTACTGTGCCAACTGGTTAACCAGCAGATGTGTGCTGCTCCTCTTTGTACAGTATTCCAGGAACAGTACCCTTGTGATTGGCAAGGGCTTACTTTATTGCCATGAGAGGTAAAGAATGTGAGATAATATTGAAGTGAGACACGTTTTAAAAATTACTGCCGAGGGTTTTGTTTAAGTAGAGAAACTCGTTCATAATAACCCTCTGTCATCTTTCGACACAGATTGCATTGCTAAGCACTCCAGTGCTGGCTGACCCCTCCTGCTCAGCCATATCTCACACTGAGAGCACCCTTCCCATAAGCAGATATGCTGGAACAGTGGACCGGCCCTATCAACCAATTAAGTTCCTCCCACTGGCCTAATGGGCTGACAGATGCATCTCTAAGAGTGCAATTTATGTCTGGATCTCTCTACCCAATGTTTACTAAAATGGAAAAACCGTGCCGGTTTCCGACGCAACCTGTCGAAAGTCTGCAAGGGGGTGAGGTATCTGACCATGACCAGGAGTACCAGGGGATTAACACTGAGAAGAAGGAAGAGTCAAAATCACAAGAAAAAACAATGAATACATGAACAGTATAGTAAATCTTGGCAGTTATTATTTTAACGTCTTTTGTCTTTACAGGGATCCCCGCATGCGACGTCTGCAACAAAAGCAAGCCGAGCAAGCAGCTGCTAAAAATCCTGGACCTGAGAAGCTCACTTTTAAGGAGAAAATGAAAATGTTTGCCATGGAAACTGGGGAGGCAGAGACTCCAAAAGACAAGGTGAAAATTAGCCGAGCTCAGAGAGATATTGAGCACTGAGGTCAAATGAATTGAGGCTTTGATTATTTCAAGTTATTACGTACTAACTACCATTGCAAGATGCAATTTCTGTAAGCCATAGTGGTCCTCAATTTAAAATTTATATACCATTAGCTGTCAAAATTGTTTACAGTATTTTTAAAAAACCAATAGTTAAATGCTCTAGCCATTGTTACAGCTGGTGGATTTCATATGAATTCAATGAACATATTGTGCTTTATTTGCATAGCTTACAGCTGGCATTTATCAACAGTTTATATGGTACAATATTTTTTTTAATTTGCTGCAGTTTTTAAATCTCAAATTGATGAAATATTTGAACCTACTAATATTATTGGCAGCTTGATGGAGAGGCTAAGACCATTTGTGTTCCTGTAAAATATAGTAGCTAGCATTTCATTTCATACTCACATATCAGCACTAGTACAAAGTGTACAAAAGTGGAGCATCTCCCTCCAGCAACTGAAATAGGTCTGCTGGCAAGGAACTTAATGATAATGAGTCATTGCCTCCCCTGACTAATGTGGACCAGATGGAGTGCCTGTGTTTTATTTATATTTTTTTCTTAAACTGAACTAGCATGCTGTAGGTATGAGCAGTTGGTGACTTGCTCTCCACAATGGCCAATTATTCACTCGCTTTCATATAAATTGGAATTTTAGATTAGTAGGCACATTTCCATACACTTAGTTTTGGCTGTCCCCTTGTACATATGTAAAGTGTGGGGTAAGGAGTGTGGTCACCACTGCATACTCACAGGAATGTGCACTTTTGCTTCAGTATTTGTGATGAATAATGTAGGAGTCTTGAAAAATTTCTCAAGGGTTCATTTCCCATGTTCCACATAGGAAATTTACTAATGACCCTGTGAGGGTTCATTTTATGGAATCTTGTCACAATTACTAGTTAGTGCAGGCAGTGCCGGCTCTTAATAATGTTTGTCATATTGGAGGAAGATTATATATGTACATTTATCGGTTATTTTACGATTACTATGGAGCATAGTGCGGTAGGCTGGGGTAATGTGGATAGAAGATTAGTCGTGTCTGTGATAAAGGTAGACCCCAGCCCTTCCTCACTCATTTTACACAATACATAAACCCAGAAACAAAGATTTTTATTATACCTAATTTTCCATTTCAGTGACAGCTTGCAGGAAGGAAGATGAGAAAGAAAATTTCCTTTCCTCATAGTTTATTTTGGAATGGCAAAGTGATGGTAGAACAGAGGCTATGGCAGGTGAAACCACACTTTAGAAAACTCTCTGGATCCTCAAGTAACTTGGCACCAAGTTTCTACTAATGAGTGTAGTCCTCCATAAATACATATCACCTGCCTGGGAGTAAAGTGGTAGGAAGTTGTCATGGTGTCTTTCATGTTCCCACCACAGTCACTGCTAGACTGATGCACACATCACAGTATCTTACATAAATGCACTTTCATTTGATGAATAAAATTCATATCTTCAGAGTGCAGGCAATATGAGAGTACTGCAGGTATCCCTTGATTTATAATATTTCACTTTGATGTTGTTGATGTTTTACTTCCACCTCCCTATTTACGATAAGAAAATTGCATGAACGATCGCCATCATCCAGCCACAGTTGCTGATGCGCAGAATACTGTACAGGCATCCCTTCTTAACAATTGATATTGAAACAGTTTATTTAGCCAGAAGAACACAGATACAGAGTGGATAATAATAACAATATTAACATGGCTGAGTCAGTTGAGAACCTGAGCTGCACCTGATGTATACTATACATTTATCTCAAGGAAGTATTATGTAACATTTAGTATCATCTGGAATGGTACAATAGCATGGTGGTAATAACAACATGTTACCACGGTTATCACTTTGATTTTTTTTTTTTTTACATTTATATTATAAGTATATACATACTATGCAGTGGAGTTGGTATACATAAATATGATAAGGGAGGGAAGCAGTACAACATGGGTTGTATTAAGTGGGTGTATTCCAGAAAACCCATCATTAATACTAAATTATCGAAAATTGAAGATAACAAGAAATAACATAATAAACGAGGGATAACAAGGAATTATATCCTTGATGATGGCACATAATTGTGTAGCTGTCTCGCCACCCAGTAGCACTCGGAGCAGGTGAGGCTGATCTGTGAGTTATGTTATTGTTTAACCCATAGTTTTGGGAAGTTACAGTATATGTAATATAGTTTTTTCATTTGTATTACTCTGTTACATGTACACACAATTGTTCATACAGAATTTGCAAAAAAAAATAAAATGAATGATTATCATAAAATAAAAAAAATAAAAAAAATAAACATTTCTTACGTCCTTGGGAGTTAAGTGTCGGATCTTGGGATGGGAAGGGGTATGGTGCCTGAAATATTAGCCTTCCCCTACCAAGCCAAGCTGCAAACTGCATTATTGTTCATTTTCAACTCGTTATTTCGGGTAGATACAGGTATGCATAATTTTCTTCAAATATTTTACTGTTACATGTACACAGAATCGTTTGTACAGAATGTGCAAAAAAATATAATAATTATCATGAAGAGCTTCAGAACCTAAAATCACAAAACACAGTGTATGTGTGTGCATTTCCACACCCTTTTTAAATATGAGCTACCTTAGTAGGTCCTCTGTTATCTTTGTGGTTATGTTCTTGTAAACTGCAACGTTATGTGAAACAACGTAAAGTGGATCAAATTTTCCGATAAGAAACTTAAGAAATATGTACATTCCTAGCCTCCAGTCACCCCGATAACATGCATCACAATTAAGACAATGTAAACATGATTGTAAATACCTGTATATTTTGCACTGTAAATACATATAGATATAAACTATAATAATGTTTAATTAAAATTTAGTCTGATATATTGTACTCGCCATTGATCAAAGGTGAAGCAAGATAATGCTGGTGGTTTTGAAGCCATTTCAGTGAGACACATCTACACTTGGCAGAGGCGGAAGTGAGACTGATGCTCCGCCACGGTAACGTTGTACAACATCACTAGACGGGCGAGGGAAAGTGTTGCATGGAGCAAAGTACTGAAGACCCATTTGACCGACAATGTAATATTGATTTTACACAATGGTATGTGGAGTCTTGGTATAGAAATACAGTAGTATGAATGTAATAACGAAACAACGTTAACCGGGACAATGTTAGGTGAGGACTTACAGAGTATACTCTATTAGCAAATATATGAAATGAAAAAAGTGGCTGTCACAGGTACACTAAAAACTAAGACTGTTAAGCTGGGTACCCATTCAGCACCTGCATCAACCAGGGACACCCCTCTCAGTAGCTGGCCACAGAGATTGAAACCATAGTCTTTGGGTCATGAGATAAGTGCAATATACAGTCATTCACTATTCCCTCTAAGGGCCCCAGAGGGCGCTGCTGCCCTTGGGAGGGCCCCCTAGAGGCACTGTCGCTCTTGGGAGGGCCCCCTAGGGTTGCTGCCGCCCCTGTGAGATCCCCTAGGGATGCCCCCTGGGAGAACCCCTGGTTGCAGTGCTGCCCCTTGGAAGGGCCCCTGGAGTTCCTCTGGGGTTGCTGCCGCCCGTGGAAGGTCCCCTGGAGGTGCCGGCACCCTTGGGAGGGTCCTTGGTGGTGCCATCACCCCTGCAAGGGTCCCTAGGGGTGTAGGGTCCCTGGGGACTCCTTTGCCCCTGGGGACTCCTCTGCCCCTGGGAGAGCCCCTGGGGGTGCCACTGCCCTTAAGAGAGCACTGCCACCCCTATGGAGGGCCCTTGGGGGCACCACCACCCTTAGGAGGGCCCTTTGAGGCATTGCCCCTGTGAGGGCCCCCAGGGGTAGCTGCCACCCATGGGAGAACCATTTGAACAAGTAATAATCCAGATATCAAATTTTGGTCAACAGATCCTTAATCAGCATGTTCAGGAGTACCTATACTGAGATTTTGAACATTATCTATTTTTTGGCCGAAAATGACAAAAATTGTAAGTTTTATGCCTTACAGGATTTTTGGCCAAAAAATAGATTTTGTTCAAAATCTCAGTATAGGTACTCCTGAACATGCTGATTAAGGGTCTGTTAACCAAAATTTGATATGTGCATTATTACTTATTCAAATGACTTGCAAATGTAATTAAAATTTTCAAAAAAGTGCAGTTTGATTGTTGGTCAGTGTTAAATGTAGCCATTGTGTTTCAGTGATGAAAGCGGTGTCTGTACTAACTGTTATAACTTAACATGTCTTTTAACCTACATCCTCCTTACCCTTCCTCCCGCCCCGCCCCGCAAAGTCCCAGCCTGGCCCGATCAACCACGCCTCGGCTCCTCCCCACCTCACCCGCAACGCACCGGCCTGGCTTGGCCTGGCCAGCCTCGCCCCACCCCACTCGTGTGACCTCACGTCCTTCTGACCCGCCCCGCCTCGCTTGACCACACTAATCCCCCGTCTTTTGTCCCGTAAGCTATGTGTTGATGATGATGGTTAATATAAAGTAATATTGCGATGAATGTAGAGCTTCACTCGGTGTATTTTTATGCCATTATGATTTGTGATGTACTCTTTGACGCGTAGTCATAAATGATATTCAGTGCAGTGCACAGAGCTTCACTCCCCGACCCAGCCTGATGAGAACATTGTCGTGACGGAAATAATAGTTGCCAAACATTGACATAACGTATAAAGTAAACATTTTTTTTGCGAATGCACTTCCAACTAATACATCATCCCTTTAGGATTGTTTCTCTGTCAAATGTCACACACAGTACCACCCATGGCCAGCCGGCCGTCAACCACAGTACATACGAGCAGAGAAGAAGCAGCATGATGAATGCAGCGTGATGAATGCAGCACACAACCCACCACACACCACTCCACTTCTTTCAAGTCCTACCTGGTCTAGGATTAAGAAGATTTTATATTTTTCTACTTTAGGAAGTTAAGGAGTGTGGAATGCAGCCCACACATCAAAACCCTGGCAAGCCGAACCAGGGAGGGGATTTCCGCTGTGGGGGCATGGGACAGGACGGTCAAGGATCCAGCCGATACTCGTGTACAGAGGGCGAAACCAGGACTGCAGAGACTGCCCCACACGTCGTCCTGAGCGATGGCATTCCCCCCAGTGTGACCGGCTATCCCCGGCCGGACTGGCGGAAAGATATGTGACAGAGAAGAACCACAGATGGAGCAGAAAAATTCATCTGGAATATGACGGAAAACAAAGATGTATAAAGAAACTCAGATGAGCAGAAAAATTCGTCTGGAATATGAAAATGAAGATGTATAAAGAAACGCAGGTGAACAGAAAAATCGTCTGGAATATGAAAATGAAGATTATAAAGAAACACAGATGAACAGAAAAATCATCTGGAATATTATAGAAACCAGGAGGAAGTGAGAAGTCAGATGATGTGGTGACAAGGCCTACAAAGTGTGGTATTGAAGAAAGAAAAACGTGCTATGTGAAGAAAGAAGACAGAAGACGCGCTGTGCTGACATCAGAAGAAAGTCGACGATGACAAGGTGGATCATCAGAAGGACCAACCGACTACCGCTGTTGTGCTGCCGGCATTCCCTATTTTCAGATACCATCTGGATGGAGGACTTGAGCCATGCTGGACCCAACTAATGTACTGATGTTGATGTTGTTGATGTTGTCGATGTGTAATACCCTAATATGTGAAGTAGGAACATTTTTTGTGTATTTTGAAGTATTTTCTCTGATTTTTGTTGATGTTTACTACAAAGAATGTCTTTTTTTAGTCTCACTTTTTTCTATGAGTTCATTTGATCAATGTTTTGGACTATGAAACACGATGTTGTAGCCATATTACTGACTGACAGATAAATTATTATTTTGACAGGCTGATAAGGAGATGTAACACCTGTTATTGTTTTGATTTGCAAGTTGTCTCGGATACAAATCTAGATATGAAGGATTTTTTCATTCTATGTTCACTTGCTATGTTTCCTTTTTCTCCTGGCATAGAGCTTTGATCTTGGCGGGAGGTATAGTGAGCTTTGTCAGATCAAACTAGTGCCAGTAGAAAAACATAAACCTATGAGATTGTTGTTTGTAAATGTGAGACTATGTTATCGCCCCAGGGATTATCTTTGATACCACACTTGATGTTGCTGTCTATATGTGACATCAGTCTCTGTGATGAAGCATTCGTCTTGGCGGGAGGTGTAATGATTGTCAGACCAAAGCTTACAGCCCAGAATTATGTCACATATAACAGCAAGTACACTACAGACCTCGAGGTACCACCACATTCCGGGTTGACACACCTCAGGTCGACCCTAGGGACTTGACCTCGCCCGCTAATGACGTGAGTTCGCCGGGTGACCTACAACCGCACCTAACCAAGACACCTGGGCAGGACCACACCTGCACACTCCTGTCCAAATCTAACCAGTTTAGTGATAATTGGTTAGAGGTCAAAAGCCAGCTGGGCCGACCCCATTTTAAGGCACTACAGTCCCGTCCACGATCATTCCATTCTCATTATCATTCTGGTTCTCATTATCATTCTGATCCTGGTTGCCATTCGAACATCACTCTGGAGATTCTCAGAGTCACGCCTGTCCTCTCCCCAGGTCGGGAGGGGGACTTCCCGACCAGACCCCAGCTAAGCAGAAGCCTCCCATAGGAGGCAGCCTAGCCAAGCATCCACTGGGCCTACGTCAGGGTACACGTGAGTCTTGTCAGAATGATTCCTAGGGTGAGTTACCTACTGTGGGAAGTGTATTCATTCAGGTGTGTCCGAGAGTCAGTGTCGAGTAACGTAAAACATAATGTGTTAGTACCCCGATATAATAGTGATATTAATGTGTCCATGTCATTGAGTGAATTACTAATAGTCCCTTTAAGAAGTAATATATGTGTATTGACATACTAGATAAGATAAGCGTATTGACGCTGAGTAAATAACACCCCAGCCATGCTACCAAGTTTCCTATCTTTACATTCCTACTCTCTATACTTTCCCTATATATGTCTTCTTCTCTCATTGTGGTTTTTCTCATTATATTGGTGGTAGCGGTTTGTCTCATTATACTTACAATTTTGTCATTTTCGGCCAAAAAATAGATTTTGTTCAAAATCTCAGTATAGGTACTCCTGAACATGCTGATTAAGGGTCTGTTAACCAAAATTTGATATCTGCATTATTACTTATTCAAATGACTTGCAAATGTAATTAAAATTTTCTTAAAAGCCATTTAACAAGTACCGTAATAATCCAGTTATCAAATTTTGGTCAACAGATCCTTAATCAGCATGTTCAGGAGTACCTGAAAGGAAGAGAACAATGTTAAACTTACTGTAAAGCAAATATTCCTGGACATCATCACCAAGAATAATGAGAGATTATACAAGTTTCTCAATTGTCTTGTAAACTATGCAACCATTTGGTAATCATGTTTAATACAGTGACTCTAACTTCCTTGTTCTAATTACTGTATCGACCATATTTCACCCTCACTTACATAACAGAGTACAGAGTTATTAGTTATCATGGGTTACAGTAGATAAGAAAGGTTGGGAGGTTGAATGAAGATGGTTGCTGGGTTCCTGTAGAAGGGGTCTCGTTACTGCAGACGAGGATCACTGACGAGGAGACACAACGGGGTGTGTTTGTTTTGACACTCCTCGTCACTTAAGTAAAAGGAGAGGTTGTGGTTCACGATAGCACACCTGTGGAGGTTAATGGGGGTCAGTCTCTGGCTTACAGTTACGTTGTATGTAAGTTAGTTATTATAAGAAGATAAGGTCAACATCCCTAAATAGTGTGACATTGTTAGTGAGGTAAATATAATTATATAGACTTCCTTATACACCAACACTGACAACCAGAATGCAATCAAACAAACACCAAAGAGAATTGAACAGTGTTACCAGCCCAGAATGACAGTATAGTACAGTATTACCAGCCCAGAATGACAGTATAGTACAGTATTACCAGACCAGAATGACAGTATATTACAGTATTACCAGACCAGAATGTCAGCATATTACAGTGTTACCAGCCCAGAACGTCAGTATAGTATAGAATTACCAGCCAGTTGACTGTCGTATGGGTGCCTGGACATATCTGTAGCAGGAGCTAGAGGGTATTGGGTTGACCTGGTCATTGAGAGAACTGAATTTAAGTGGCGGAGGTTCTTCACAGGTGCTGCTGAACCTGTAATGGTCAAGGTGTGTTTCTTTAAAGGTTTCGAATGGCACTTATCATAAATTCGTCTTTAAGTAATAAGTTATATTTATTTTTTTTTCATTTTGATATTAAAAACAATTACACCCTCTACACCTACACCTGACTACATCATCTACATCTACACCTCAGGGAGAAGGAGACTTACCTGGGTGCCCAATAAGGGAAGCCCAGGGGCATGGCATTGTTAGGTAGATCGTCTCGGATAGGGGCGTCATGGTTTGAGTCACCAGGTTGGATGAAAGCCCAAGCTGATTGCTGCTGATCGTAGTAACCACCAATCCACAGGTCAAAGGTTACGTCTGTAGAGGATGAGCATTATAAGGAGGTAAGTAAGTAACTATGTGTGGGGAGGGGGGATAAAATGAGCAGGTAAACCCACAGGCGAATGTAATACAAAACACAACACACATGTAACTTAATAAATACTTCAACCAATTTTGATTATAAGATAAAATAAATAAACTCCAACTGAACGACAGAAAAAATAAGAATTGTTAACATCTTTTAACAACCATATAACAAGAGTCACAGGCAAGAATCAAAGGTCGCAGTGTGTGTCAGTGACCTTCAATATGAAATTAAACCTTAGTGTGTGTGCTTGTCTACCATGGATATCCTTGCCCATATAATCTTCCTGCATGAATTGACAGGTGGGAAGAATCAAGAGAACACGACAATGAACAACGAAGGTCATAAAGGAACAGATTCAAACTGATAAGTGGTAAAAATTTAAGTTTAAAAACATAAAATTAAAAACAAAAAACAAAAACTATTTTTAATAAGTGATTCAACAAGTTTTAAACAAATCAATATATAACAAAATTAACAAATCACAAAAACTAATGCAATGACTTATATAATTTTTGAGTAATCACAATACATGTGTGGTCAGAGGAATAAGGATTTCAACCATTTAAAAAGGATATTGTTACGTTTTAAATGCAGGAAAGTGGCTTTCTTACCGTAGAACTCGGATACCTTCACACTGGTTACTCACCCAAGAGATTATGGTGTATCACTACGTAGAATTTTGCTCTGCTTCCGGCATTCAATGCGTTATGTACTTGATAAATGATGATTTAATGAATTCCACTAACTTCCAACATCCATCTAAGTTATTGGTTATACTTTGTCATAACCAATCAGTCATTACCCTTGGTAATAATAATAATAGAGGGGTCACAGATACGGGCAGATGATTGCACTTACGTTTATTTATTTGGCACAATTCCATACACTGGACTTATAATTTGCATGGATAGGTCAGTCACTCACATTCACGCCACAGTACCGTAAGTTATAAGGGAGAGTTTGTCAACCTGGAGAATTAATCGTTTAGATCTATTAGGCCGGCCTGGAGTGCTCGTGTAGCAAACAGGTCCTCACCATTGATCACTTCCTTACAGGATGTGTTAACTTGTCGCTGGACTTAACAAAAATCTCGGGGATTTGCACACACAGACCCGTAGCACTGGTAGGACTGTATGGCCCCTGTTCTTAAGTCCGCGGAGCAGGAGGTCTTCTCTAACCCAAGGTCTAAAGCCCACTGGCTAAATTGGTTTTTTGAGGCGTGAAGTGATGAACAGTACACCACTGTCTCACTGGCCTGCCCCCCCCTACATGTCCCAGTCATGGCTGGCCGGGTACCTTATCTCTACCGTTAACAAACATTTGGGATGGGTTGTGCGGGAGGCCCAACGCAACCCATGACAGATATTAATCACAGTGTATGAATGGTCAAAGAAATGTGCAATTAAAGTAAAGACAACAAGAGAGACAGAAAAGAGGAACAAGTCTTAGAAGAATGGCAGAAGGAAGATGGGGTAGTGTACTCACTGTTGTTGCGGATAAATTGGTACATGGCAAGGAAGGAGGTCGGGTCACTGAAGGTCCACAGGTCACTGTAGATGGACTTGCAGAACTGTCTCGCCTCTGGCCACGGCACCTGCAGGGGATATTATCTCCTCAGAGCACTGGTGATGGACCATTGCACAACCCATGTAAGTAGAAACAGGGGAGGGTCTAGGATCTTCAGAAGCGGAGTCCAAGCATAGAAAGGGGGGTCCAAACAATGTGATTGGGACTTAACAGGTAGTACACACTCAGGGTCTTAAAATGTAGAACTTAAAGAAAAAAATCTTAAACGAGAGAGAGATAACAAAGATTACATGGCAGCTGAACTGACCTTGGCGGTGGGTAAGAAGGAGACGCACTGATCGCCAAGCTTTGTGTACAGTGAAGGACAGTCAGCAAGTTTTAGCTGTGGCTTAGGGTCCTTAGGGGCTGTAAGGACAAGAAATTAAAAAATGAAACATTGGTTATATTCAATGTTCAGAAACGTTACTTTATTATATAAAAAAAACTGTAAAGGCTAATTAGCAAGGCCCATATTATGAATCATTTAATGAGGGCTTATTATACCAGGTAACTGGAGATGAATGAACAGTTGAACAAAATATATTGCCACTAAAATTCAAAGTAAAAAACAATAACTCCAGGAAGTAATAAGCAATTGAAAGACAACACATAATTGATTGTATAGCTTCAATTACACCTCCCAAGCTAACACAAGTTACAGTACATGTAATAAGCCGGACAGATTACAAAAATGAAAATGTAGATCAATTTCAGCATACACTGCAACTTAAATGTATGAAATATGTGTAATAAAACTCATGGTACGGTGTTGATGTAAGAGTATTTTGAATTATTGATGGTTTTAAAAAAATTGTCCTCTATATTGTAACACTGTAGAAGCAACCTGGGGTGATGAATGTGGCCACAACACTCACCCTCCACCACGTCCTCCAGCTTACCGAGGAGCAGCTTCTGCATCTTCATCATCTGTATTGAGAGAGGGAAATGTATATACAGTCTGATATAAGAATACAGTTATAGCTCCATTAGCAGGAACACTTGGTACAGAGCACTTCTGGGAATGAGAGATTTCCTGGGTAACAACTCGACTCTCTCAAACCCGGAAAAAATCCTCTATTCCCGGAATTTTCCAGGTACCTGTGCCGGGAAAATTTTCTCGGAATTTCACGAAATTGAGATTAACATCATCTCCCAAACCCGGAAAAAATCTCCCATCCCTAGAATTTTTTCCGGGTACTGTACCAGAATTTTCATGGACTTTTCCAGAATGACGCATCATTTCATCTCTCAAACCCGGGAAAAATCCCCCATCCCTTGGAAAATCGTTCCCACATCCAGAATTTTCCGTAAAATTTTTCCAAGCAAATTTCAATTCTGGCTAATGGAGAGTTCCAGCTAAGAGCGATTCCAGCTAACAGAGATATTGCTGTACTACCCTACAATGACAAAAGAAAACAAGTAACAAGTTGTACGAGGGGTGATCAAAAGGTTTGGTGAATGGTACAGTGACCAAGGAATGAGTGAATGGTGGTTAGACCTGTGGGCCTCCTAGTTGCCACCATTACAGCAGCTGCCAGTGCACTGTGTCACGGCTTTGAATGAAGACGAGTCTGTGGCATCTGGTGCATTTATAGAAATGTCACAGTTTGAGCAACATTCAAACATGAAATTTACTTTATGCTCAGCAAAACAGAGACAGAAACACACAACATACTTTAACAGGTTATACAGATGGAGCTGTGATTTCACTACTTTCGGGAAGGAAATGAGTCACTGGACGGTGAGTCAAGAAGTGGTCTCCTTGACACGGTGCACTGGCAGCTACTGTAATGGTGGCAACTAGGATTCCCACAGGTCTAACCACCATTCACTCATTCCTTGGTCACTGTACCATTCATTGTACTTTTTGATCACCCCTCATAGACTTACTACTATCAGTGAGAGTCTGTCTTTTCCCTGGCTCTTCGCACTATTAAATTAATGATACTGTACAGCATTGTACTGTAATTTAAAAAATAGTGTTTTATCAGGTTTCAAAATACTGTACAGCTGCTAATGTTTTATCCTGTCTGTTTCAGAATACAACTGATATTGTTGTATTTAGGAAAGACTGGCCCTTAATAGAGTGACTGAAATGCCTCGCTAACTATAATAAAGGATTTGCTTACTGAGTGCATTATAAATATTGATACATCAGTCTTTACCTTTACCTGTACCTGTACCAATACATTAAGCAACAATTTACCTTTCCATATCTCTCTTTTTTCCCCAATATTTAGTTGGGTGGATATGCATAATAAAATATACTGTATCAGACTAATTACAACTTTATAAGAATTTTCAGCATACAGTACCAGTAAAATCACTTGGGCCCTATCATAAAAGCTGTGAAAATTAAATGATACACAAAAACAAATATGAAATAAGAAAAAGAATCAAAGGAATAAGAAGGACTGTAAAAAAATAATAATTATGTTAAGAAGCAGAATAAATTAGATAATTTGTAAGAATTTAAATATAAACAGAAATAAAAAAAAATAATAAAAATAATCTTCCTGAAATGCTTCTTCTTTTACTAATGGTATGACTTGTTGCCTGAAATCAGACCTCACCTTACAGAGCCTGGGGTCCTTGGTGGCAGCACAATCAAGGTTTCTACAGAATTTGTGGGGTGAGTAACAGGTGCCATTACATAAGATTTTCCCTCCTTGACAGTCATACTTCCAGAACTAAAACACAGGAAAACAATTAAATGTTTGTATGTGTCTGTTGCATTGTTTACAGGTGTGTGTACCTGTCTGGTGTATTGTATATGCGTGTGCCTCTGTTGTATTGTTTCTGTGTGTGTACCTGTTGCATCGTTTATATGTACCTCTGATTTATACATGAAGATCTATGATGACTAATATGTGAATATGTAACAAAATTATACCCAGATGGAAAGCTAAGACCAAGTTTGCATATAATGTTCACTGAAATACAAAATTCCTCACAGAAACATGCTAATAACCCAGTTCATTGAGAAGAGCTACATTAAAAACAGTGCAAATGAACCTAATAATTAAAAATACACGGTTCTAAATATTTCAATCTTCATACTTGCAATATCTGGAAGTCTGCTGGTGCCATGTCCAAATGGAAGATTATACAGCACAACACTAATAAATTATAATATCCGTCAGTTTCTCCATGACATGATGAGTAATTACCTTGACCATGAAACACTTCACCTCACCTCACATATTTCAGGGTTCTCGTCAGAGCTATCAGGACAGTCAGTACCTCCCTTACACACTAGGCGGGTGGAGATGCATTGTTCACCAGTAGCACACTCTATCTCTCGTGGACTGCAACTAGTAGTGGTTCCTCTACCTGCCGAAGATCAGTAGATATTAGGGGTAAATCATTATTTCTGTTAAATATTACTGTGTAGATTTTTAATAACTATCAATTATAGGGTGACAGGTTCTGCTTTCCACTACAGTACTGTGAGTAAATTGATATGGCTAGATATTAAATCTAAGTTATTAAAATCTAATATAGAAAAATTACTATAATTAGTTAAGCTAGCCCTGTACGCTTAAAATAGCGGTACCCAAGAATAAGTGATAACCTAAACTTTAAAAACGTACTTAGCTATTGTTTCAGGGGCTGTTATGAGTTGAAGAGGGTCTTGGAGGAACTGAGAATCTAGAATACTGTAGTGGGCATCTCCCCTACAAACTGCTTAGCTGCATCCCACCTGCGACGCTTTCCTTAGCAACCAAGCGAGCGGCGACACCAGATGGTACGGTAACCTAGCAACGGAACCAAAAGACCGGCGACTTTCTCGGGTTTTCCCAACATGACTCATAGATGACTCACGGCCGCTGGGTATATAAGCTCTGTCTCTCCAGTGAGATTCATTCTGACCATCTTCTTGAACAAGCAACACCTCCTCCTCCGCCGCTGCCTGGCAGCCCTCGCTTCTCCTCGCCTGCCTGGCGGTCCTTGCTCCCGCCAGCGAGCATGGCGACCCACCAGCTGTCCTTCTCTGAGCTTCCTCACCAACCAGCTCTCATTCTGGCCCATCTTCCTGAACACGCAACACCTCCTCCAGCAAGCTCCACGCTGTCAGCTTTCATTCAACCAGGAGGCCAGCAACAGGCAACATCTTCTCTAACGAAGCTCCTGCACATCTACCTCCTTCAACACGCTACTCACCGAACGTCTCTACTGAGCAGCTCCTCACCACACGGCACCTCCAGCACCATTATACCACGAATTCCTACAATACCCTTTAGTTACCGGCTGTCTGCTAGATTTTGGAGAGTTGCGTCTGCCTTCCATGAAGTGTTAAACGAGAATGGCGTTTTTACCGCCTTGTACAATTAAGAACATAAGAATGGAGGAAACTGCAGTGGGCCATACTGGGCAGTCCCATTTACACCCAACCCCCATTACTCATCCACCCAACCCCCATTGCTCATCCATCCAACCTCCAGTATGTTTGAAGCTATTTGTTATTTTTCTTTACAACAATATTTCTTAATGAAAATACATATTTAGATTTTTAGTTAACTACAGCCACCGATATCGAGTAAATTAAACGATATTAACGTGATCCATAGAGAAAGGGGAATGTCGCACTACTTCCAGTCTTGCGTGTGCCAAATAGTGTTTTTACCACTAATTTTTGTACACTCCGCTTAATCATTTCCCTAACCTAACGAGTTAATTAAATCATTAATTAATTAGGAAATTATTTACACATACCACATTGGATTGTTATTTCATGTCCGATAACACACAAGATCACTACTGCGGTGCTTCAAGGACCCGGAGGATAAAGGTGAAAATTAATTCCCACAATGACATTCGTGTTTACTGTTGACAGTCGGCGTCTGACGGGCTGCCTCACCACTCGGCGTCTGACGGGCTGCTTCACCACTCGGCGTCTGACGGGCTGCCTCACCACTCGGCGTCTGACGGGTTGCCTCACCAGTCGGCACTCTCGCCAACCAGAGCGGTCTCGATGTCACGTGACACTACTGTGCATGCACAGACTCGAACTGTAATTGGATATTGGCAAGATAACTTCCCTGAGCCAAGACTGCTCTTGGTCAGAGTGGCCAATCATATATGTGTTTGAAAATGAAGCCGTTGCTTATGACTTCTCAAGACTCATGGTGTTCTGCCAACTACTTAAGAGTGTGGTTCAGACTGTGTGAGGCTAAGGACGTTTGGTTTTGTACTAAAAGACGGAAAATCCCCAAGAAAGAAAAGTATTTCATCATTGTGGCTTTTCAGTTTCTGTTTAATGGCTCGTGGTAGGACAAATTACACATACCAGCGTGGTAAAGCTTGTGTAATACGTCTATCAGGAAACACTATGCAGTGCTACATATTAGAAAACTTGGTGTTGTAGTTGAAGTGGACTAAATTTGGAAAATTCAAATATAATCATGGCCGTGAAGGAGTGTGGGTGTTCAAAAGTAAATTCATGGTACCAGTGCCTGACTGCAGTGCGTACTCTGATACCATTAATTCAGTCGACCAGTGGTCCTTCCTGGTACAAGTGACTTAACTACATCCCTTTATCCTCCTGCATCTGATAATTAAGGTACGATTAAGTTAAGCTGGGTTAGGTTAGGTAATTGAACAGTCTATAATGAAATAGTAACTTAGCTTAAGATTATCATTTACCTGTCATTTTTTTTTTCACATTAAGTGTAACAAGACCAGAAATATTCCTCTTATTAAGTTATTATACTGCATATACTGTTATTATTATTATTATTATTATTATTATTATTATAATATTACTGCTACGATAACTATGGCATTTATTATTGATACCTCTTAAAAAAAACTTTATTACGATGTTGCCTTACAATTTAGTGAGTGACATATACAGTAGTTGCAAATCCCTTCACAGCAGTGATACGATTTTCACCAAACAGACTTGTCTTTATATTACAAATTAAATATCGTAAAATATTCAACTGATAGCAAAACTGAATTTACTGGAAAATAAATCGTAAAAAAAATAAGCCGCATTTCTTCCGTAAAATGACTTACAAAACCATTTCCTGAAACATGCCGCCATCAACCACATGTTTCAGGGGTGCCAACACAACCATGCATACACCCCGCTTTGATATGTTTCCAGTTTGTTTACGTAATTTATTTTAATAACATGCCTTTATTGTTATGATTATTATATTATTATATTATTATTATTTAGTAGAAGTAGTATTTTCTGTTTGCTAATTGTCTTGTTTATTAAATCAGGGAAGTTCTGGTCACCGTATTACAGAATGGATATAGAATCCTTGGAAAGAATTCAGAGGAGAATGACAAGACTAATCCCGGGCATTAGGAACCTTGAGTATAGAGACAGGTTAAAGCATCTTAATTTGCACTCCCTTGAGAGACGTAGAGCGAGGGGCGACCTGATAGAGGTGTATAAGTGGAAGGCAGGGCTAAACAAAGGGGACATTACAAAGGTACTCAAACTATCCAACCAGGAGCGAACTCGTAACAATAGTTTTAAATTAGACAAATTTAGATTTAGGCGTGAAATAGGTAAACACTGGTTTGGAAACAGAGTAGTGGATGAATGGAACAAGTTACCAAATATCATCATTAATTCGAATACGTTGAATTGCTTCAAACATACTGTAGGTTGGATGCTCATATGAGCAATAGGGGTTGGGTGTAAACGGGACTGCCCAGTATGGGCCAATAGGCCCGCTGCAGTTTCCTCCATTCTTATGTTCTTATGTTCTTAAGTAATGGGTGTATGGAGAGGCTGACTGTCAAGGTATATGGGGGGGGGGGAGGAATGGGGAAGGCACAGGGTGGAGTGAGGTGTGTTGCAGGGTGGCAGATGGGAGTAGATGTAAGAGTAATTAAGTTATTTCAGCCGGTCATTCAGGTGAGGCGTTCATAGAGATTCCCAATTACAACGCAAATAAATAAGAATATACCAACGCCAGAATAAATAATAACTTACCAACGTAGAAGAGTAATGGGAGAGTCATCAATAGTAGCCAAGGTTTAGTAGTCGTCATCTCGCTGTCTAACCAAACCTCCACTGGGATGAATATATACTCGCCTGCAATGTGTTCAAAACATACAATAAACATAGTATGAATAACTGGGGAAAGAGCTACCATTTCTGCACTATATTTCACGAAACGAAAAAGAAATTCACGTTACCACTGTACTTTGTTAGTTACAGCTGTACTGGACAATATTTACATCACCTTAGCACTGTATGTCATCGTCGTATTTGTTTTGCGTTACTGCAGTACTTGTTTAACTTAGATGCAGTATATTTCACTTAACCTACCGGCAATATATACTTCATTCAATTTACCGTGAAACACCACCAGCCGCTTTTTTGTATACACTGACACTGTCTTGAACTTTATCACTAGGCTATCCGTGAGAAATAAATAAACGTAGTAGGTCTTCAGTCACAATGCTCTGTGTCCATATATAACTTTATTGTATATATACAGAAAGAACCTTTAATGTTGTTTGATTATGTAGGAGTTAAAAATTAAGTTAGGAATTTGACTCACGTATAGTTTGACTGTGGTGGTGGATAGTTGGTGTTACTCTGTGTGAGGCTCTCTGCTGTCTGGCAACCTGAGACCTGAGTCCCTCATTCTTCCTCCCTCATTCTCACTCCCCCCATCCCCCCCCCCCTCTTCTCCATTCCAGTCCCTCCCTTCCACTCCCATCACACACACACCTGGGGATTACCAGGTGAAGGTACAAAGCGAGACCTTGACTTATTGAAAGATGTTGAGTCAATGGTAGCACCTTCACACCCCTACCCCCCACATCGTCTACACCCCCCCCACCCCACCCTCTTCTACACCCCCACCCCACCCTCTTCTCCACCCACCCCCCCTTCTCCACCCCACCCCCACCCCTCTGCACCCCACTCCTCCCTCCCACGCTCCACCCCTCCACGCTCCCACCCTCCCACACGCTCCCACCTCCTCCCACCACACGCTCCACCACACGCTCCCACCCCTCCTCCCACACGCTCCCACCCTCCTACACGCTCCGCACCCTCCTCCCAGTGATTCTCAAACGGGTCCGCGAAAAGTTTTTGAGAAATATTGCATTTAACGTTTGAGAGAGATTTGGTGATTCCAGTTCGCAGGATATTTTGGATTTGGGTTGAAGTGAACAAATGCTTTGGACTATGATTTATTCTTTGATTATTGATAATATTTGTATGCGTCATGGTATATAAAGGGTCCTTGGTTGAAAAAAAGTTTGAGAATCCCTGCTCTACACCAGTGGTTCTTAAGCTGGGGGGCGCGAGCGGTCAGAGAGAAAAGTCTGGTCAGGAACTGAACGCGTCTTATACACTGTTGCTCATCCATCCCACTCTATAATAACCAAGGGTTGCATCACGGGGAATCTAGGACTTATGCAGTAAACACGTCAAGAAATAAAGATATGGACAGGTATTATTCAGGTACACTTTTTTCCACATCTCTCTTGGCGCTGTCACTAAAACATTACAATTTGTAGGGTTTTTTTCACAAGCAAGAGAATGTTGGTGGTATAATATTATATGGTATTAGTTTTATTTGTCACATATTCGTTTGTTTACTTAATATTCAAAAACATTTCCTCTGTTCACCTCAAGGCTACGTCAACACTTTTAATAAGGTTCATGAAACAGCCACAAGACCCGTTAGAGACAAGTAATAATTTAATCCGCTGTAAACAAATAGAAAAAAGTGAACAGTGAATCCTTTATTTAACGAACTGTATGGGGAGGAAATTCCGTTATATCGAGGTATCCTATAAATGGGAAACCCTCCATCTAACGAAGCGTACAGATGGGAGTACGTTATATCGAGGCCGGTGTGAAACCCTCTATCTAATTCATTATACGAAGAGAAAAGTCCGGTATATGGAGGTTTTCTGTATACGGTGCTAGGAAAAAAACAAAACATGGTGGACGAAGGTGGTAACCCAGGTGGTGCGTTATAGTGAGTCAGTCTGATAGCCGTAAGTTCATATCTGTTGTCTCCGTACATAACACCATGGGAACTTGTTAACGTGAGTGGATTCAAGTGATATTGTCATCAAAATAAACGATAAGCAAAGGCTGACATCATATTGAAGTGGCTTTTATGATAAGGTTGCAAGAATAATGTCCTAGCTATCCTGTTTACTTCTCATGATGTTTAGTTACTGATGGATTAAGTTGTGATTGGTAACCTTAGTATGCACTGAGATTTGAACGACAAAAAGGGAATAATAATAGTAGTGTTAATGAAAGAAAAGGTTATACAAACACCAGTAGTGATTAAAGAGAAGAGAGGAATAAAGCGAAAGTAGAAGGAAGTAAAAGTGGTAAAATGATGCAATATAAATCAAACGTACGAAACTTCGACTTATGTTTTGACACACCAATATTCTCTTAATTTAGAATGAACTTTTTTTGGCAGCAGTTTTATATTCGTGTGTGTTTGCTATAATGAGTCAGCTGAAACCCATCGTCTTGAGTGCACAGTGCTGCCAACCCTCTCGAGAAGTAATGGTCAGGTAGGCTAAGAAATAAACTATCGATCGATGATTAATGGTGTATTCCTGAAGTTTTCCCACGAAGTTGTGTTACCCAAGTGTTGTAAGGAAAATTTAATTTTGTGGAAAAAGACAAACTTTGTCATTTTAACCAGGGTTTAATTAAATTTATTGTAATGGTTTATCTTTGAAATCAACATGATGTAGATATATGTAAATGGATGTTACAGTAGATTTTATAATAATACCACGAAATATGGATGTTTAGTGTACAAAAAAAAAAAATCACATTTACCCGTTTTGTTAGGTATTATTTTGGTAATTTACAGAGTTATTATATTGTACAGTATTAGCATGTTAAAGTTGGTGGGAGAGAATATAGTGGAGCCTTGCTAGATTGCTTAGGCAAAAAAAATTATTATATTTACGAAAGTGTTTTTTTATTGAACACGTATTGTACTGTGTAAGTTCTCCATTGAGAGAATATTGTTAAATTTTAGATTAGGTTTCCTTGACTTACTGTTTAGGCTGATGTCCCAACCGCCCGCAGGTCATGTAGTTCAGTTCACCTCAGCCAAAAACATCGGTTACTTCAGCAGTACATCACAAACTTCTTCATTAACCTGTTGGTGTTGAGGATGGAGGGGAGTTAGCTGTTGGTTATGTAAAGGATCAAGAGTGGATCATCAGCTGTAGTGGAGTGAGTATACTGAAGGCAGATGTTCTCGCGTTATTACCTCTATAAGCTTTAGGTGTTGTGTGGAGGTTCAGTTAGTCATGTGATGTAGCCTCGTAAGTCATAATAATGTAAAAAAGATAATGTGACCACTTATAGATAAACTTTACTAATGGCGACATCTAGAATTCATTTTTACTAATTCGTTTTCTTTTTTCTTTTGCTTATATTAAAACATGAAACTAAAATGGTTGTTTATGAATTTACAAATGAAAAACAAGAACACCCGACAGATCACACGCGCTAAAGTTTATAATTGTTACAAGACTTGCCCCACCCCCTGACGCTACTTGGCTTCGTGGATTAAGTCAGCGATATTCCTCAGTCAGTACGAAGAATCATATCAGTAAAACAAGTAATAGATGAAGGTAATTTAAAATCTCTGTGGCGATGTTTTGCAGCGGCGCATTTTCTGGGGACAGCAGCCGTTGGGACACTGCTCTTCCTCACAGTGTTAACCGAGGCTCGTGTTTGAAGGGACCTCTCACAACCTTCAGGACAGAGATGGTAAGGCTAATGCTGAAATAGATGGTAACACTCAGATGACATGTTATAGTTCAGATCTACATCACAAGAACACAAGAATGGAGGAAATTGCAGCGGGCCTATTGGCCCATACTGGGCAGTCCCGTTTACACCCAACCCCTATTGCTCATATAAGCATCCAACCTATGTTTGAAGCTATTGAGCGTATTCGAGTTAATGATGATATTTGGTAACTTGTTCCATTCATCCACTACTCTGTTACCAAACCAGTGTTTACCTATTTCCCGCCTAAATCTAAATTTGTCTAATTTAATATTGCTCATATAAGCATCCAACCTATGTTTGAAGCTATTGAGCGTATTCGAGTTAATGATGATATTTGGTAACTTGTTCCACTCGTCCACTACTCTGTTACCAAACCAGTGTTTACCTATTTCCCGCCTAAATCTAAATTTGTCTAATTTAAAACCATTGTTACGAGTTCGCTCCTGGTTGGATAGTTTGAGTACCTTTGTAATGTCCCCTTTGTTTAGCCCTGCCTTCCACTTATACACCTCTATCAGGTCGTCCCTCGCTCTACGTCTCTCGAGGGAGTGCAAATTAATAATAATAATAATAATAATAATAATTAACGGTTTATTGAAAAAGTTCTACAGCCCGAAGGCTGAAAATATACATTGGACATAAATGACTTATTACATACATTGGTGGTTTAACAAAAGCCTTCATTAGAGAAAGGTAAAGGAACATACAGTGAACATACAGATTAATGTAGGTGATGAACAGCAAACTCGTAGTGTAGTAACTCCCTCCCAGATGGTGTTAGGAGGGACCTCACGTGGTGTAGTAGTTCCCTCAGATGGTGTTATGAGGGGCCTCACGTGGTGTAGTAATTCCCTCACAGATGGTGTTATGAGGGCCCTCACGTGGTGTAGTAATTCCCTCACAGATGGTGTTATGCGGGGCCTCACGTGGTGTAGTAATTCCCTCACAGATGGTGTTATGAGGGGCCTCACGTGGTGTAGTAATTCCCTCACAGATGGTGTTATGAGGGGCCTCACGTGGTGTAGTAATTCCCTCACAGATGGTGTTATGCGGGGCCTCACGTGGTGTAGTAATCCCTCACAGATGGTGTTATGCGGGGCCTCACGTGGTGTAGTAATTCCCTCACAGATGGTGTTATGCGGGGCCTCACGTGGTGTAGTAATTCCCTCACAGATGGTGTTATGCGGGGCCTCACGTGGTGTAGTAATTCCTCACAGATGGTGTTATGAGGGGCCTCACGTGGTGTAGTAATTCCCTCACAGATGGTGTTATGCGGGGCCTCACGTGGTGTAGTAATTCCCTCACAGATGGTGTTATGCGGGGCCTCACGTGGTGTAGTAGTTCCCTCACAGATGGTGTTATGAGGGGCCTCACGTGGTGTAGTAATTCCCTCACAGATGGTGTTATGAGGGGCCTCACGTGGTGTAGTAATTCCCTCACAGATGGTGTTATGCGGGCCTCACGTGGTGTAGTAGTTCCCTCACAGATGGTGTTATGAGGGGCCTCACGTGGTGTAGTAATTCCCTCACAGATGGTGTTATGCGGGGCCTCACGTGGTGTAGTAATTCCCTCACAGACGGTGTTATATGAGTGAGGTGTGGTCCCAGGCCTTCCTATCGTAGACGGATTAACACATCGCTGGTTGTTGGGTCTCACGGGCCGTTATCACTGGGTACCTGGGACCTCACTGTGTGAAGGTTAACTTGGGTGCGACTGTTACTGTTGAGTTGTTCTCACTGACTTAAGCACTGTTCACCACTGTTCACCTCTGTTTAACACTGGTTCCATTCCTTTCCTAAATGAAATAGTAACTTCTGGCGTGAACTTGTTGATAT